AAAAAAAAAAAAACAACTACAAAAAAAAAAAGGACAAAAAAACCAACAAAACAACAAAAACATTTTTCAGGTTCCAGGGAAGAGCATGAATAACTGTCAGAGCTTTTAATTATATTTGTAAATAAAAGTGTTCATCACAATGCCTGGCTGTGTCATTGCGGGAGGGGCGGCTCGTGGCCCAGCACAGGTGCAGGGTGGGGATGGGGAGGTGTCCCACTCCACATGTGTCCCATTCCACAGGTGTCCGTCAGCCTGGGGCTGCAGGAACCTCAGGGCTCCATTCCAAACCCGTTTTCCTGACAGTGGAAGTTATTTGGGTAATGCATTGTGGCTTGTTTATGTCCTGCTTCCAGCATGAGCAGTGCCGGGATGGATCAGCCGGTGTGAGCACTGCTCCAGGCTTTGTCCTGTGGGCCTTAGTCTGGAGTAGCTGGGGATGTTTTCCTGAAAAACCATCAGTCCTGCTGAAATGTTTTAATGGCTGAGCTGAAAAACTGCCCTGGGGCAGACACCACCCACCTTCTGGAGTTAGAGAGTCCCCAGTTTTCCCAGGGACACTGATTCCTGTTTGTCAGACCGTGTCAGTGCAGACCTTAAAAACAGCAGCTTGAAAAAGTGGGGAGGCTCCTGGATCCATAAAGTTGAATGGCAGTGGCTTCACCTTTTCTACTGTTTTATAGCTGGACCAAAGGCTCATTTCTGCTCTGAGCACTCAGGACACACCCCCAGTCCTCGGTGCAAAGCTGCTGGAGGAGCAGGAAACACCTGGGACCTGCAGCTTGGCTGGGAAGTGGCTTCAGGTCAGTAAAGCTGGTCACAGCCAAACTGCTGTCAGGGTTCAGATCGGGAGGTCCTGCAGAGGGAAGGAGCCTCCACAGAGCCAGGGGATCCTTGGGACAGGGACTAAAGGCAGGTAAAGATGGAAAGATGTGACTGCTTTGAACTATGTCACTCCAGCCATCAGCACGTTCCAGGAGTGGAGAGCCCCTGGCACAGGGTCCAGCCCTGCTCCTGACCATCCAGCTGCTCCCCTGAGTGCTTCCCTCATCCCCCAAGAAGACAACCAAGCACACCACACACCTTGTTAAGGTTTTAATTGCACTGTGAGCAAAGAGCACGGTAACATCAGGTCACCACAGGACTGAACAAAAGAAAAGTGGTCTCAGTTTTGAGTGACAGCAGAGAACAGAAGAAGTGCTGTAGACCAGCTCCTGCCTCCCCCTCGAGCTGCACCTTCACTACTGGAGCAGTGATGTGGAGGCACTGGCCAAAGATTGAGGGGGAAAAAAAAAACAAAAAAAAGAGGGAGGAGGGAAAGTTTCCCTTACACTGCCCTCTCCTCTCCTGGAAGAGGGAGTCTCCACAGCCAGCACTAGCCCAGAAGTGGTTCTGCACCCACACCCCTGACATCTAAAGCCATCCCAGGACAGCAGAGACACCCTGAATTGACACTAATTCACAAAGGCATTTGTTTCCCTTAAGCAGGTCAGTTTGGAGGGAGTGGCTGACAGCTGTCAACAGCTCTAGCTAGGATCACCTGTGCCACGGGAATCAGCACAGGCCCGGACACGCGGACACAGAGCAGGGACAGTGACGGCGTTCCAGCTCGGGACGCTTGGGTTCAACTCGCTAATCAAACAAAACTACAGCGCCGTGCCCGAGCCGCGGGTGCTGCACACCCTACTTCCCCGACAGCTGCTCGTAGAGCTTGGGCACGTAGTCGTCCCACTCCGCCTGGTAGCAGGTGCCCGCCACCGGCGCCCCCAGCCCGTACTTGCTGCGGAAAGCGGCCACCTTGAACTTGCCTCGCTTGTCCCCGGAGCGGTTGGACAGGACGGGCTCGTTGCAGGCGAGCTGCTTGGGCTGCTCGTACACCAGCCACACGTAACGGTGCAGCCCTGCGGGGAGGGACAGCGTTACCACACCGGGCACACGCAACGCCAGGTCTGAGGTGTGCTCTGAAGTGACCCCTGGAGGTGCCCGCATGCTCCAGGGTCGGAAGGCTGAGGATGATGGAGCTTAAGGCAGCTTAGAGAAGATGCACTAGATATGCTCAGTACGTGCTTGTGCTGGCTGTGGCTTTGCGCAGCCACGGGCCATCCTGCACGGATCGTTTCCTGCTGGCTTCCCCCCACCCTTGTGCACCATGTTCGATCCGTGTAGCACTGCTTGGGGAACTGCTGCAGGCAGGTACCAACCTGTTCCCTTGGGAGGCCCGGAGCCAACATAATCCGACATCACGGTCCCACTGCCCACATTGTTGCCTTTCATGTTGGTAACCAGGAAATGATGCCATTCCCTGAAAAGAGAAGGCAAAGAACAATCAGATTGTGGCACAGTCCCTTTATCACTCCAAGCTGCTGTTTTTCCATTAGGTTGTCAGTGAAGGATAAGCAAACACTTGATTCTGGGATTGCCAAGCACAAAGAGCAGCAGTCCCACTGCTTCTTTGGGATGCACAACCTGCCAAAACCAGCTCCATCAGCCTGCCTTGTGGCCATGGGAAAACCAAAGCTTGACCCCCAAGAGTGGATGTTCCACAAGCTTCTAAGCTGACTTGAAAGAAGTGAACTGGTCCGAGGTTTAAGACTCCAACACAAACAAGCCTAACTCCAACTCACACATGGCCAAATTAGAGCAAGCAGCAGATACTGTGCTGTTCCAGCTGCAACAGACCTCTGAACACTGCTGGAAGAAGCAGCTGCTCCTCCCCGTGCTGTCCCTGGCTCAAGGAAAGATGCAAGGACACCATTTATATGCCAAGCCAC